GCCGCGGCTCGCGCGGCGGAGAGAGGCGCGCCCCCTCCCCCAGGTCAGTGCTGGCGCGCGGCGCGAGCCGCCTCCCCCTCCCGCGCGGCGGCGGGCGGGGAGCGCGGGGGGGAGGGGAAGGGCGGGCGGCGCTGGGTGCTCGCCGCCGCCTCGTGCGAGCCGCGACGGGCGGCCGTGAGGGGGTGGGGAGCAGGACGGCCCTGACCGGAGCCACGGGGGGCGCGGAGGACGCAGAGAGCGGGAGGGCGGGTGACTTTGGAGCGAGGGAAGGGCCCCGCCTGTAGCGTACGGCGGGGCGGTGTTTGTCTTTGTCCTTTCCGGCTGCCAGTGCCGCAGCCGGAACGTCGCCGGTGCCTCTCTCCTGTTTATCCTTCATGTCCGGATACCGCAGCGACTGTAGCCGAGCGGCAGGGCGCGGGGCGACGCGGCGGGCGCTGCCGAGGCGCCCCTCGGCCGCGGGGCGGCGCCTGGGCCGCGGCTGCCGCCTCAGGGGAACGGTGGGGGCGGGGGGAGCGCCGCCGCCTCGTTCTTCCTCTGCGGGCGGAACGCCGCCCCTCCCCATTGGCTGTTTGGCGGCTAACTTCCCGCCCGCCCCGGCGCGCAGCCAATGGGAGGCGCGCAGCCCCTCTCCCGCGCGCACGCCGGGCGGGCGCTGCGGAATTCCCCCGGGGAGCGGGGGAGGGGCGGCGGCCTCCCGCTCCGAGCAGCGGCCGCAGCGCCGTGAGGCGGCGCAGGATTGTGGTGCTGCCTGTCAGCTCCCCGCAGTCTGCCCAACGCCTGTGTACCGTTCCTGAACGCTGGATGGAGCTTGAAATGAAAGTAATACGCTTATTCCAGTGCGGCTGTCAGAGACACGTTTACAGGCTGGAATAACGTCACAAGTGAAAAGCATGTACAGTTACCGACATCAGTTGCTTCTTACGTTGTCGCCTAAATGTGTTCCGTGCCTCTTTTTGTACGACTACGTGCAGCTTCTGTCAGTGTTAGCACACCTCTCCTCCATTATGTCAGAATGAGCCCTGTCAGCATCCGGGCCTCACTCTCTCCTCTGCATGCAGTGATGTGATCCCACCAGAAAATGGTGATCTCGGTGCTGCGTGAGGTGCACAGCTGATGGTGAAGATCCCTTACATAACTCGTGAAGAACAGCCGTGCACTGACTTTTCCTCAAACAGTGCAACTCACCGACTTTTCTTTTTGTTAATAAGGTGCTGAACGTTGATTCTGTGTCACTAGAGAAGTGTTCCTGGTTAATGACAGCAGGTGGGGGCAGGGACTTGGCATTGCAGCAAGTGCAGCACACCCACTGAGGTGCTAAGCCTGCTTTCTCATTTGATTACTGCATACATCCAGGAAAACATTTTTGTTTTGGGCTATTGGAATAACAGTACACATTCCTGTCAGCACAGGTAAACCTGCCAGCAGGCCTTGCAGTCTGTACTGCACTGTTACTTAACTGTGGGTTCAGCACCATAACCTGATTTATTTGGCTCTCCCTTCATTCATGACAGCCAAGCTAAGCTGGATCTGCTCTTCATAGAATCATAAAATGGCCTGAGTTAAAAAGGGCCACAAAGATCATCTAGTTTCAACCCCCTGCTATGTGGAGGGTCACCAACCACTAGACCAGGCTGCCCAAAGCCACATCCAACCAGCTCTTGGATGCTTGTGATGCAGACCTTCCGCTGATGTCAGTCACTATGCATGTTCTGTAGGTGGTATTTCAGTATAGCACACAGTAATCTGGTTCTTGCTTCTATAGTGTATGAGGGACTCACATAGCAGCCTAAACCCTCTTTAAGCTGAGTGCTTGCTTATGAGTAGTTAAATCATTGGGTTACTGGGAGCACAGACTGCTGTGCAGGGTGAGCAGCAAATGAAAAAGGCACCTGCTAACCTGTTGATCCAGCAGCCTGTTCTGCTTCTCCCACCATGTATTGCAAGCACACAGTTCATTAATGTGCTTTGCTCTTAGAATAGTCCCATAGGACTGGGAAAAAGCTGTTCAGACCCATCACTGTGTGTTTAGGAGGACTAACATGCACAAAAAAAATATGGCTCACCTTTTAGCTAAGGGAAAAATAATATTTCTTTCCCAAGGTCTGATAGAGGATTTTATTTGTTTTAAATACAGTTCAAAGGGAAGCAATGAGACTGAAACTCCTGCGCCTTCAGACTACATCTTTTCACTCTTTAACTACAATACATCGATGCCAAAGATTTAATAAAACTGGACATCATCTTCTAAAGCTGGATAATGATGTTGACAGAACGGATCACAGAACAGCTAAAAAGATTGGAAACTTGTATGCTCCAAAGACTGCTTCCCCTTGTTTGACAAGGCCCTCTATGCAAGTCAAGAATTGGCAAATGATCCAAGGAAATGTATCTGCTTTGGGAAAAAGTGTTTATTATCAGGGTGGGGAGATGTTTTTCCCACCCTGGAAACGTTTTGGCTTGGCAGCAATGGAAAACTACACGCTCAATGTGGAGTATATTAAAAAGCTCGGGAACATATCATCAAGATTTTACACAATTGTATCAACTAGTAAAATTATTCCAAAACCAAGTACCCAGCCAGTTAAGAGGCCACCAAAGGCACCAAGGACCAAGCAGCCCTCCAGAGCTAACCAGCCACTACTGTCAGACGACATGAAGGTAAAGAACAGAATTTACAGTCTATGTAATGTTGAGGGAACTTTATCAATTTAATTCAGATTTAGATTTGGGTTTAGATTAACATTTTAATGAAATGAACATATTTATTTGATGAAAAGGACTTTATTATTTACCTGACCGTGACCTCAGAGGATTTGAAACTCTGCAGACACAAGCTAACTTGGTAGAAACAGGTGTGTCTGATGGTTTGGAGATGAAGTTTTACCAGCAATATGTAACAAAGGGGAGGGAAGAGAGTTGATTTCTAAAACAGAAAGACAGGAAATCGTTTAAAAATTATTGAAGGCAATGTTCTCAAGTTTAATATTGAGGAGCAAGATCTGCCTTTCAGAGTAACTTAACTTTCCATAGGTATACTTGCTTGTCCAATTCCATCCAGTATCAAGGCATCATTCTATTGCTAACAGAAATCAAGATGAGAATAAATAATACCAAGTTTACAAATATTCCAACTAGGTTTCAGAAACTTTCAATTTAGACTGTGTTCTCAAGTATGCCTGTGTTTTTCCATTTTTTTATAAACAGACACCACATTTCAAGCCATAGTGAAATAGCTTTAACACTACAGCAAATTTATTCTTAGTGATAAAATATATTTTTGTAGCAACATGTGAATGATCATCACTACACTTAGCATTCGAAGCCTCGCAGTATTTCAGAAAAATAGAAGGTTATTTCTGTGCAATCAGTGGAAGAACTGAGTTGCAGATGTAGTCTGTGTAACTTGAGCAAGATTATTCCATGTGTAGAAATAGCACCTGGATCACCAGACTCCTGGGTCTACAGATTAACTGCCACAACAATCTCTTGTGGATAAAATCAGGTAAACAGGATGAGTAACTGGAACAGTGCATACTTGTAGCTGTTACTCCCTGAGATAGGTCTTTGCGAGCCCCACTAATTCTAGCCAAAGCAGACTGTAAGCACACTTGAATATAAGATCTCCAAGGAAAATCATGGAGTTGGAAATGTTATTGTTCTCCTCAAGCTACAATAACAACAGAGTTCCAGCGTGTTGCTAACAAAATAGTACTATAGATGAGATTGAGACAAGTATTGTGCTTCCAGAAATAGCTTGCACATTGCAAAATACGCCTATTACATGGTCTGCTGAATGTGAGCACAGAAAGTGAGGTCTTAATGATTGCCTTCTAGACGTATAAGCTCCTGTTTAATATCTTGTATGACTAACAGGAGTATGATATAATGTACCACCAAGTCTCCATTGTAGAAAATTCATTTCCCACTTGAATTTTCCTGTTGCTCTGAAAGAATAAAATGCAGAATTTTCTCTTAACATACTGCATACTGTTCCAAGCTTTCTGCTTATGCTGTTGGGTGGATTTAAGTGACTTTTTTTTAGATACCTAAGGTTGAATGCTATTTTTACTTTCTTCCATTTTGACGAAATTGAAAACATTCTGCCTGATAGACTGAACTAATATCATTTCTGGGGAAGATCCCACACTGCAAAACGGTGTGCCAGAAATCATGTAAACTAGGACCTAACAAACCATTTTCAATTTTTAAACAAACAGTGTGTGGTTTTGTCAAACATACAGCTCCATCTACAGGGGTACTGCCAGGCTGTCACCCTGACCCTGTTCAGGCTGACAGCATTTTGGAATAAGCTGCTTTTTTTTTTTTTGCTTTTTTTTTTTTTTTTTTTTCCCTTTGGAACCTATTTGTTTACTCCCTTGTAGATATGTAATGTAAAGAGCTAATTGAAAGATGAGACTGTTTTCTGTAAGATGACTGATATCACAAATGGAGAGTCCTTGATGTATTTTTTTTTTCACCGTGTCATTTTTCTCTAAATCCTGGTGTCACAAAAAAGCTGATCTTGTCTTCGTCTGCATATTTTGAAGTAACCAAGATCCCTCCAGTAACATAAGCCATGTTTCCAGTGCAGCTTAGACCTGGCTGCTGCCTTCCTTCACAGTCTGCCCCTGGAGATGTGCTGTAGAGTCATTAGGCTTTCAGTTAGGTGAACCCTGAGGTCCCTGATGTTTTCTGTTTGATGGGCTCATTAACAACTTCTTTTTGCAGAATGGTCCATGGATAAGCTCCTTCTAAGCACTCATCTTCAGGTGCTGTCTGCAGATAGAATGCACCAGCATGATAAATGATCATTAGACCAGTTTTTCAGGATAGATGGAGGGCTTACTCCAACGTGATAACTGGTTTGGTTAGCCATTCAGTGCATAGTGTCACTGCTACTCAGATTAATTACTCATCTCACAAGGTCTCACAAGACATGAGAAACCTTCAAGCTGGTTTTTAATGATGTTGCCTAGACAAAGCTTGAAAATCAACTGAAGGTGGAGTACCAGTATCCTCGAGATAAAGATGAGTGCCTGCAGTGATGAGAAGTGTAAGTTCATTTTATAGGTTTTCTTACCTAAATAAAATAATAATAAATTCTTAAATGTTTGCATTCTCAAAATGCAAGGGATGAGTTATAAGAATGATAGTTCCTGTGCAGTTGCTGGGTGGATGATGATACAGAAAATGTGTACTTAGAATGGCTGATCTGATGGTTGCTTTGGAGCTCTGAACTGTATCTTAATGAACCCAGGTGCAGCCAGGAAGAGGAGGTGGCAAGTGGCTGGAGATGCTGTCAGCAGGACAGAGCTGCCTTTATTTTAGGCAAGCTTGCAGGTGAAGGTGACGTAACAGACAGTGTGGGATGGAGGTTTACCAGCCAGTTAATGCAGGTATTTTAGGATGAGCTGACTGTAGACCTCTGTGTTACATCTCTGTCAACTATGATGGAAGCCTCAACACCTAGAATGCTTGTGGACACATAAATTATAGGTGTCTTAAGCTCTACACCCATGCTAAATGTCCCTCACTGAACAGCATTTTAGTAAAGGTGAAACAGTGCATTCTTTAACAATAATTTTAAAAAAAGAACCATATCCAAGCTACATATGCAAACTGCTGTTTCAGGCACTTATTGGCAGCCAACTTCTGGTGGTGGTTAAAGTCTTTGCGTGACAACTAAAATCAAAGCCATAAATTAAACAGTCTGTCCTGTAGCACATCTACCTTGAAGTGAACAATAACAAATTTAACTACAGAAAGTGTAGATCAGGGTAAGGATTGTCAGGTGATATAGCTAGAAGATAACGCTGTGCTCCCTGAAGGATTTCATGGCAGCATGTGTGTGCTTATATGAACCAGAGCTTTTTAGAAGAGTCTAAAATGTGTAATTTGTGCTGGCAGTTTAGATGCTGGAAATGGATTTGTACAGATGATACTGTAAGAATGCAACTTTTCAAAAGATACTGTAGCAAGAGAACTGAATATACAGTTCTGTTGCACTGTTACTTGCAGTTAACTGTGTTAATGGCACAGTCATGGGAACATGACTGCAGAATTGCTCTCTGTTAGTGGTCATTAAAAGAAATTGATGTAAACAAAACTTTGGGAATGACAGCACCTTAATATGAAGAAAAAAAAGTTTAAACATGGGCTTTGACCCAGCTTACTGGTTCTGGGCCTCCTTAAGGAGCAGAGCACCCTTTCACGTGTTTCAGTTTGACAGTGTACGAGTGCCATGAGAATATTATTTGAATTTTAAGTTGAAGCATACTGTGGATATAAGCACTTGCAGATGAGTACAGCTCTTCTGTGCATTTGTTGTTAGTCACATCCCCCCTTGTGTTAGTTACAAAAAGCTGGAAAGCAACTGATCTGCAATGAGAAGCATTGCTTTCTGGATATCTTCCATTACATTGTACTGAAAAACATTATGATGGGATATATGAGGTATCAGAACAAAGAAATGTACTTAAAATAGGGAGTAGGTTTTGTAGACCGGTTTATTGTGCCTTGCTGAATTCATCAGGGAAGCTTTTACACAGATGTTTGATTTCTCTGCCATGCGTGAGTTGATCTTATTGCCAGTGTCAGTGTCACTTTTCCTCATCTTCTTGCATGGTGCCAGTTACTTGTCTCACTGTGGCATTTTATTTATGTAGGACTGTGGAACATGGAGACAAACTCTGGCTGTTGTGTACCACTCAGCTGTGGTTTCAGTTGAGACTGTATTGTCAGTGCAAGATTTCACTCGGAGGGAAACACTGATGATGTGCAGCATTTGGGCTGGCACTGAAGGTCTGTGCCTTGCTGTGCTGCAGTGCTGTGATGTTTTAGGTCCCAGGGGTTACCTGGGCAGTAAGCTCAGTGCTCAGAACAAGTATTTGCAGCTGGAGCTAAGCAGACTGGGATAGTTTAACTCCATGCATCTTCAGAGATCTATAGGCTGGTATTCATGGTGTCTTGCTTTTGATTTTGCTGGTCAGCCAAGTACGTCATAGGCTGTGAGAGGGGTGAGCAACCGTGGCTGTACTGCCAAAGCATTTCACTGCCATTCAGGGAAGAGGGGTTCCATTTGTGGCCCTATCATGAAGTTTGTGACTTCATGTGACTTGTGACATGTAGTTGGGTCTCAGTCATTGAATGTGGGATATGCTTGCTTCCCCACTTAACAGGGAGTAACTGATCTCATTAGTATTTGTACACCAAGTGGACAGCTGAACAATGATACAACAGAAGAGAATGAACAAATGAAAAACATCACCCTTGTGATTGCTTTGAGACAAACATGAGCATGTCTTGTGTACATCTTGCTTCAGCCTTTCCCTAACTCAAATCTTTGTTCCTTTGGCACAGAATCTGATGCAGTGCACAGCCTTTGCAACAGCAGATGAATATCATCTTGGTAATCTGTGTCATGACCTGACTTCCCATGGATATGTTGAAATAACAAGTTTGCCCAGAGGTAGATTTTTAAAGCACCTTAAAAGCGGTATTATATCTTGGGAAATGAAATATGGGTGAGATATTTAATTTTTATAACTTCATATGTTTTCATTTTGGTAATACCCTGGAATGTATAAATATAGCTCTATTTAAAATTTCATTTGCTTTGAATAAAATAAAAATCAAAGTGAACCATTTTGCTGTTACTGTATAATAATTTTTCCCTAAATTACTATTATATTAAAAGAATCAAAAAAATCAGATAGTCTTGAGAAGAATACATTCAAGAAAACATAAATGAGATTTCCTAATAGAAACTCTTTTATAGAAATTCACTAACTGAAAATTTTCTGAAAGTTTATTTTAATCAGTGTTTCAGTAATGTGATACCAGAGGTTCAGCTGTCAACAGTTTTGTATTTTGAAGTGTTGCACCTTCTTTCCATTCCCACATTTCTATTAATGTAAGTTGCTGAGGGCTGGAGGCACACAAGAGGATCTTGCTGACTACATGAAATGTAGAAGGTACACATACAGATATTTAGTTCTGGTAAAGAGAACGTAGTCGATACTTTATACTGGGCCAAATATATCCTGGTAATTGTTGAATGGTTTCCTTCAGTAATAATTGGTTCCGGATCTATACAAAGTATCTCTGAAGACTTGGGAAGGTATGGCATGGAAATAGCTGAAGCACACTACAGGAGAAAAACAAATAGAGCTTTTTATAGCTTAAAGACCTTCTAACCCTAGAACAGCTGTGATTTTCATGTGTTGGCAGTAGATTTATTATTTTTTGTGAATGAACAGATTATGTGAAGCAAAAGATATCCTTCATGGACATTTCATGAGAGGTTATCAAATGTCTGGCTGCCTCTCTGAAGAAACCAAGCGTGACAGTACTCTGGTGGATCTTTATAAAGGTTACTTGAGAACTGTCTGTCTTTCTCAGAGAGAAGGCATTACATAGTATAGGCTCCATGTTCTTTCGTAGTTCCTTTGGATTAAAAAGAACACTCTTCTTAGAGCTTCAGGATAGAGTTACCCGAATTGCTGTGATGCTTATGTTACTGTTGCTGGTATTTTACCCTGGGAGTGTGGGTTTTGCCAATTCTTTCATTTCTTCACGGTGTGTTTTTGACTCCTTACAATAGATACTCTGTCAAAATTGTTCAGGAAATGATGAAAGTTTATTTGATAGTGACAGCAAACTTTGTGGTGGTTGGTATGTAGATGTAACAATGCTAAGTTACCCAGTCAAAAGTTGTATCTCATACATCTGAAAAATACTAGCATTTAGAAATCTAAATTAGCAATTAGTGTGAATTTGTTGCTTTGTAGTGTTCTTCCTCATATCATTCTTTTTCAACCACTTTACAAATACTTTAGAGGTTGATACTGTAGCCCTCCTTGTAAGGAACCAAATGGACATTCACTGTACATATTTTATCTGGAGAGGATAAAGGAAGATTAAGTAAGGGCAATACTTGAAAAGGCAGATGAGAAAGTGCAGACAAATGTTTCTTCTGTGGTAAACTCCAGCTTCACACCCAGAACCTGCCCTAGTGATTCATCAAATCAGTTGTTCCTGAACTGGAATAGCAAGCAAAAGAGAAATCTTTAAGGAGTTCATACAGATCAGCTGCACGGTCTCAATTCAGCTACTAGCAAAAGCTCATCCTGTACTTATTTAGACATCTCTTCCTGTCACCTTAGTCTGCCTGGCCCCAGTGCAGCAATGTCCGCATTAGCAAAGTAGTACAGCAAAGCAGATATGTAGTGAGCAGGAGAAAAAACCGGTTTGAGAACTCAGGATCCATACTGGAGGCATTCTGCATACACTGGCTTGAGTCTGGTCTCCTGTAATGAACCCCTGCTAGTGGCTGGAATTCGTTTTTCAGTTAAATTTCATGCAAAATAAATACAGTTCGTGCATTCTGACACTTCTGCAATGCAAATCGAAAGTATGGTAAATGAGAGTGACTTGAAGATTTGTTTCAAAAGCATGCTTTGATCCAAAGGAAAACATAGATGTAACTTCTGCTGTCTTGGGGGTATGCTTTTTCAGGTTTCTATCAAAGCACAGTCAGCAAAATTCGAGTGCAGATTAGTTCCTTGCTAAACAAAAGAGATGTTGGTAATTACTCTGCAACTGTGGGCTTCTTTCCATCATTCCATGCTACGTGTCCACTTCTGCCTTCTGTATTCTGCTCTTGGTTATTTACTGTGCCCTGCATCAGTTTTTTCTTAAGTCTTTTGTTCTTTAAAACAACTGTATCTCATTAACTACAGTTTTTCCAGTTCAGCATCATAGCTGAGTCTATCTGGCATGTGACGCTTCAGAGAAGCTGTGTAGCTTTATATTATAGCTTTTTAATCAGAAAAATAGGATACAGAACTGACTTTGAACAGGAATTGTGCTTGCAGCTACTGCATTACTACTTTACTAACTTTACTTATTTACTACTTACACTAACTTTAAATAATTCTGCATTTTGAACTTTTGTTTGTTCATTTATTTCAAACTAGATGCTGCGAATGTTTTGGTGATGGGTGCTGAGAAATCTGCAAAAGAAGATGATCCTGGCATGATTTTTTTCTTCAGGTAAGTTATAAACTATGTCTGAAACATTACCTTACAAATAGCATTCCTGCAGAAGCAGTGCATTTTGCTAAAAACCACCTCATGAAGCTCAAGGAATAACTGTCCAATCTAAATTATTCAGAATTTTAAAAAAATCATACTTACACAGGGAAAGAAACCAGACATTTTAATGTTTTACACTGAAGCATGGATAAAAAGCAATTACTGCATAGTCTCTGTGCATTAGTATTAAATTCTATAATTCATAGTGTCAAGAATTGCCACCATACAATTTGAGTATTGCATTAAAGTACATTTAAAATAGTGTAATTACACCTCAGTTTTTCCTTGAATTCACAGGGAAGGGGCTGTTGTGTTTTGGAATGTGGATGAGAAAAGTGTAAGTAAAGAAAAACCGTTTGTTAAAGCTTCATCAGCAGATGTCTTGTCAGTCCCACAAAGCCCATTGTGCTTTGGTATTTTTCTGAGAACTTGGATCTCTCCAGGAAGGAAAAGGACTGATTCTTCTCTAAGGAGTGCGGCTGCTGCCCTCAAGCGTGTGGGTTGCTGATACATCACCTATACGTGACCTTTTAAGCCTGTCTTTCTGTGCAAAATAAGCAAGTGGATGTGTAACATACAAAGGGGGTGAAATCTCTTAAGTCCGAAAACCTGAAACCTTAATCTCGTGAGGTTGACAGAATTTTTTTCCCCCCTACAGCAATATATACTGAAAAAGTAAATCAGAACAAAATCAACACACGAATGCAAAGGAAAATAAATGAGCAGTAAAAGATCACTCCAGGGCCATTTAAGTCAAAACTTACATTTTGATGACTTGCAAGGGGCAGAGTTTGGAAACAGTTGGTTTTTACACTGTCTTATGCTTTTACCAGTGGGCAGTTTTTCCTAAAGGAAGGTTCTCATTGGTTGGTATAATTGTTAAAAATATATCAATATTGAAATAATGTATCCCTTATGATAATTTGATATTATTTGTCCACCAAGAGGGGTATGCTCCAGGCATATTTATTTTTATGAACGTATTTCTAGTTATTTAAAAATACTTTTTTTTACTGTGGTTGAGTAAATGTGAGCTTTAGATAGATAAAGGCATTGATCTTCTCTGTAGGCAGTGTAACTAATTGGTATGTTAAACAGATGATACTGAGGCAGACGATTTATAGACAGATTTTCACTAACATAAATGACAACACAGTGGTTGCTTCCAGATGTGAACTACTTCTTCATTCAGGTTTGTTTTTTCTGTATCAGACCTGAAATGCTCCTGATTTTCTGTCTGTTTTGGAGGGTTACCTCAGCTAGCCTACAAATACACTAGGTCTTTCTTCAAACCTTGCAGGCTGCTATGGCAGTAATTGTGCTCCTGACTAGCTGACCAATCCCTGTTGATTTTTATGAATTGGGCACCTCTGCCCTCTGAAAAATCTAATTCTCATGTAGTTTTTACATGCTTAAGTACCACTGAAAACTTGATAAACTCTTTCTGCCAGAAGCAACTTTAGTTGGTGCTTTTGTTAGTTTTATTTATAAAGAGAAAAACTGCCTTTTTTATTCTGTGAAAAGTTTTAGTTTTTTGTTTTAGTTTTCAAAAACCTTGCTCAAATACAGGGCAATATTTTTTATGCATGAGTTTTAATGAACTGAAACAAGGCAAAAAAAAAAGGCCTGTTAAACTGAAACTGAAAGTAATTCAGTAAAATGGCGTGTAGGGACTCACTATGAATGGACAAAATTGCTCTTTAAAAGTACTCCAGAACGAATACTAGGGAAGGAAAAACTAGTCTAAGCTAATGAACACTTAACAGAAGTAGTAATAACTATAGGCTGTTGTAACTGAGATTTGAAATTGTAAAATACTTTTTTCAGATGCCTCAGCAGTAAGGTTGTGCAATATCCTCCTCACTGTAGGGAAAGATAATAACAGATAACCAGTTCTAAATTACCCAAAAAAGGGTGATAGTCACAACCCAGTTAAGGGAAGAAAGAAATATTCGCTTACCCATCCTAAGGATTAGGGCTTACCAAACACTCCAAAGAAAGGGATCACCAAGTAGAAATCCTTCCTTGTAGCAGCCAGCCCTAAAATGAGGCGTAGGGAGGCATGGAACCTGGTTCCACCTGTGCTCCCAGGGCTGGCTGTGTCCCTTCACCAGGTGCTCAGTCATTGGTTCAGGCCATGACTTAGCAATTCCCATACACCTACCAAAAATAGCAAGGGCAAAAAAAAAAAATTAGCTTCAAGGTGGAGTGCATCAGTTTTGTTAGAAGGTGATTCTGTGATCCAGTCACCTCTCACTGTGAGAGTTTGCACTTAATGAATCCAAAAGATTTCTCATTAAATGTACTGTGTGACAGGTAGTCCCTTCCATGAAATGAGGCTGGGCCGGGAATAAACTCCTGTCGATTAATGGAAGCTTTTGTATCACTTTAAAAGAAAGCTGCCACTGAAACATAATTTCCTGTTATCCAGATGAATGGCAGAACTGTGGAAGTATGCGTATTACAAGGCACGTGAATTTCACACAGTCAGTTATGGTCTGTAAACCTTTGATAAATGTTACTCTGAGCTGGAAGTAGTTTTGGAACAGACTCTTCATTTGCTAACAGTGTAACTATTACTATACTGATCACTACTCCACAATGCCAACTAGGCTATCAGGATCCAGGTAAATATACCCCTGAAATCTGGCATACCGCATTATGGATTGACAGTTAATTCTGGCATTGTTTTAGCAGGACTTCCCTGGAAGCAGTGTAACTGACTGGTTGGCCTAACAATATACACTTCCTTACTGAAAAAAAAATGAGAAAGAAAAAAAAAAAATTACATATTTATATATATATATATAACTACAATATTCAGAATATATAATAGGTCACTGAAACAAAACTATTGATTTTAGCAAACTAGTAATTTTGGAAGAAATGGCCACCTGATGTATTTCTCCTGAAGATTCTTCCCACACTCAGACATCTGCCAAAGTCTTGTGCAGCTCACTGTTACACTTCTTCATTGAAGTCTTTACTGCTGCTGTGGTTAATCCTTACCTTGTTTTATAAATGCAGGCATTGAGTGATATTTTCACAGATCCTTTGCAGTTGTTCACAGGCACAAAATTCTTCCACATAGCTTCCAAAATAAACTGTGGTAATAACTGCTTCCTTCCAATACAAAAAAGTTACTAGCACAACTACTTGTTTTTATTTGAATAACATTAGTAAGCAGGAAATACACTTCATCAATGTATTACCTGCTAGCTCTTCATAGAATGATAATATGTTACAGTAGTAACTACTGTTATGTGTATTATCTTTTTCTTAGATGAAGAATATAATGCGAGTGCTGGAACAGCATGAAATTCAGCCATATGAAGTAGCATTAGTCCACTGGGAAAACGAAGAGATAAACTATAGAATAGGAGAGTAAGTACTTTCAAGTGCTTGTGTTTATTCAATAGCTTATAGACTTCTAAAACAAATTCAAGTGAAAGCAACTGGTAAAAATACACTTCCCAATTTTTTTTTTTTTTCAAATGATTAAAACAGGGAGAGAACAGTAAACAAATTCACAGATTTTCCTGAACTGCTATACTTTCAGTCAGCAACCTTTATGACTTGGTTATATGTTAGAGTTTATAAATTATGAAGCTCCACATCCACACAACTGAACATGTTCTTCAGCTGTCCCAAAGAGAACATAAGTGCCTCGCGGGGAAAACAAATATCCATTATTGAGACAATTTGGATTTTAAAGGAGATACAGAATTTTTCTGGATAAGCTCTAGGTTCAAATACAAAGTTGTGTTCTGCACTTACTTCACTTCCTAGAAAAGATATATCTTGAGTAATGTGGACAGATAAATCTGGCACCCATCCTATCTTTTTAACTACTTTTTTTCATTATGGAGAGCAAATGATCTCTGTGGAGATACTTACCAATGTCACTGATGATGTCATTTATTTGTAATTTTCCAACAGCACCAAAAAACTGTACTCAGGAGACAGTAACGCTATAAGCTGAGCTAATGAGTTTGAGTTCATTTAAAGTAATTTGTTAAGAGGACAACTGTGGCTTTTTTTTGGTTGATCGGGTTTTGGTTTTGTTTGTTTGTTTGTTTTCTGGCCACTTGAAAACTGTGTGGACAGTTGTGGAATTTGTGATTCCTGACGTAGTCTTAAGACTGAGTAACTTATTTTAAGTTATGTGTTTTGGTTATTTTTGTATTGAACATGAGTAAAATGCAACAAGCGTGATAGCCGTGTAGATAATCATTATCTTTATATAAAACAACCAATCTTTCTTGCATTAATTGTTCTTTAAATGTTTCTTTGCTGTGTGGCTTAGTCGATGAAGATGCTTCAATCTTGTTCTTACAGAGGGCAATCAAAGCTTCATAAGGGAGAAATCTTGTTAAATTCTGAGCTGGATACTGATGAAGTAATTCTGCAGAAATTTGCCTTTTCAAATGCCCTGTGTCTTTCTGGTAAGTTCATCCTGTTGTGTACTGTCAGTTCATTCAACAGATATAGTGAAATGTCATTGTGAGTGGGACTCGTACATTGAAAGGTTGGAGAAGACTTAGTGTCTTAGTGTCTGGTTTTGGTAAACTATATAAAGATTGATTGTGCATCAGTGGGAGGATTCATTCTTACTTTGTCTTCCTTAAATGTGAATTACTTTTCGCAACTTAAAGATGAACAAAACTCCTTAAGGAAATACTTTGCTAAAGACATTCTACTAAGCATCCCTTTGCCCACATTTGAGATTATTCTAGGATAGTCAAGAGTGCAGCCCAGTATTAAAAAGCAGTCAGTAATCTTAACTGATCATGAGATCACTAACAGAAAAAAAAAACTTGATACCAGCTAAACCAGACAGAGTTGTAAAACAGATTTTCAGCTTGGGAAGTCAAGCAGCATCAAGTGTGTGGACTGGAGTCTCAGACCATATTTTCCAGGATTGTTAGCAATGGCTGTGTGCCATGGTGGTACTTACGTCAGGAGGCTCTGAGAAGTCAGGCTTAGCAGTGATACTTCTGACCAAGGAAATAATCTCTGCTTCTTCAGACTTAGAATGAGGTAGTAAGTGGGAATAGAAACTAGCAGCAATAAGGCTGTCCTTAAGAAAACTTTAAAGGAAAACCTCTGCTGCTTTCAGAGTAAATTACAAGATTCATATACTACGTGGGGGAACGTAACTCTAAACAGAAGACATCAAGAAACAGAATGCGTGTTCTGGAAGTGATACACTGCTTGATCAAAACATACAGCATAATAACTAAATGGTTCTTGACTGCTGAAGAAAGAACTACTAAGGAAAAAAGCCTTTAGTTTTGCTATTGTTAAAGCCATAGCATGAAAAAGTGTTGCAATGTATAACAGAGCAAGGGATTTATTCCCAGGAGGTAACTGGTGCCAAGTTATGTTACTATGAAACATGTACACCATAAAGGAAGACAGTGCAATGTTCAGTATTATTAAGGGATGCAAGTATAGTCAAAGTCCAGTTTGACACAACAGAAACTAACCTCTGTCAAATAATCATTGATAGCTGAAATGTCTATTTTCAAAGGCTAAATTAAATGCTGTTTAAGTGGCTGACTTGGATAACTCATGAAATGAACATGAAGAATGCTCAGCACTTGAGTTTATTGTGCTTCTTGACCAGTACAATTATGACCACAAAATAGTTCAAGAATTAAATCTTTTCTGTTTAATTTTTGAGTGGATGGAAGTAATTTTTGGAACCAGTCTGATGTTATTACTTCATTCTTCCTTGGGAATTTAAGGATTAAAGAACAGCCTGATTTCTGCATGTCGACACAGAAATCAACTTTAAGGCTCAAGCTGAGACACAGGAGAACTAGTGTTGGCATTATGTGGGATTAACAACTTCCAGAGAATACTTTTAATATTTGAAGTTAACATTATATTCACCAAAAAAAACAAAATTGGAGATTGTCTAAGTTTGGATTTAGCTTCAACAAATACAAGGGGTGGTGTCTATACAAGCTAATTCTCACTGGCTTGAGCACACTTCATTAAACACTGGACAGATGGAGTGAAAGTTCTGCACAATGCTGTAGAAATGCAGTGGAAACTTGACTGGCACCATGTGAAGTTAGCTTGATTCCAGCAAGGCTAAGTACTTCTAGCATCTGCAATACCTCCTTGGAATGGAGTTTGCAAAGGCTTCATACACACAGTATAGCACTCAAAGTCACCATCCTGAGCTGAAGCAAAGCCTCTTCAGAGTCTGAACCAATCCACTGGAGAGGAGAGCTGAGCTCAAGGTGGTTCTGCAGGCAGATTTGTGTCATTGCACAACCCAAATTTGTCTGCAGATGTATGAATGCATTGGTTATACAGTGTAATGGGTAACTCACTATGAATACGCTTGTGTCAGTGTGTCTTGAAACAGTGCTGTATTTTGGCAGATGTAGATGATTACTTGAAAGCATACATCCCTGCCTCTCACAGCATTATGCTTTGTCACCTCTGTGTTGCAGTAAAACTGGCTATTTGGGAATCGTTATTGGATAACTTTGTGGAATCTATCCAATCAATTCCTGAGGTGAGGTCTTGTTTTTACCTTTCTCCTCATTTTCTCCTGTGCTATGTAAAATCTGGATCAGTCTAGATACAGCTGAGGATATAGAAAACACATTTGATTTTAAATTCATCAAGATAGAGAGCTCAGAACATTTTTAAAGGACGGGAACAAAAAACTGGCAGTCTGTAAAGGTCTGGGTTACAGCATGGGGAAAACTGCATTGGAATAACTTTTCCCATTCTGTGCCACTGCTACTTGCTGTTGATAAATGTTGACAAGCAGTATTTAAAAGCCTGACCAAATACAGCATAGTGTGACAGCTTGGCCTCAAAGCAGTGTGCTGAATTTCAACATAATTAAGAGATCATGAGTGTTACACTTGAACTACACTTTCTCATGAGGTGTAATTAAAATAAGTAGTCTGTATGATGTCACATACAAAAATAAGATTAATAGGGTTCAAAAGATAAATCATTTATAATTAATGAAGAGAACAAATAGTAATACGTTTTTTCAAGTGAGGAAGAAATCTGTAGAAAAGCTGAACAGCAGCAAGGTAAAAAGAAAATTGTCATGCCTTAAAAATAGCATAGTATTGAGAGAGGACAAATGATTCACAGAAAGTGTTCCAGGATTCTTAACCTGGGAGAACAGCTGGACAACAATACTCTTATCAAGCTAGATAAGCAAGGCACTATGGAAGCTAAACTTAGGTGTAACTAAATCTGATATGCGTTTAGATTTTAAGTCATATATACTTTAGGCTGTACAACTTTAGACTTCTTAACCACTAGTAAATGCTATTTGATCAGGCAGGTAAAACTTGTTACTTTGCAGATCCTAAAATCAAGAAGGAAGATAAAACTATCTCACGCAGATGTCATGCAGAAAATTGGAGAACTTTTTGCATTAAGGTAACGTTTTTTGTTACGCTGAAGATCATATCATACAAAACTTAAAAATCAAGTAGTGCATGATACAAAAGCCTGAGAATACTGAAGACTTTATCTCCTAGCCTTTATAATGTTGAGACAGTAGCCTGATTCTGAACTGTACTTCCATCCCCAGTGAGCATTGTCAGTCACACTTAAGCTTGTTTCTATTTGAGAACTCTGTTAAGGACCTCCCCTGTAACTTTAATTCACATATTGATCATCTTCAGTGAGCTACCAGCATAGTGAAGGACTTCTGTACAAATAGAAGTCACGAAAAACTACAAGCAATTAATGCATAAGGTGTGCATGTTACAGTATTCTTGGAAAAGTTTCAGGAGATATTACCAGTTTTAAACAGTGACTACATGTGCGTTTTTATTATGAATGAGATCCTTCTCATATTTTACTGAACAAGAAAAACTTTGTAATTTTTATTTTAATTACTGTGTAAATATTTGCTCCTATATGCACCAAAAGGAACTCTGAACTACTGCAGTAACCGTTCTTTTTAGACATCGCATAAATCTGAGTTCAGACCTGCTAATAACACCTGACTTCTACTGGGATAGAGAAAAACTGGAAGAGCTTTATGACAAAACATGCCAATTTCTCAATATTAATCGCAGAGTTAAGGTAGGTGTCTTACTGTTGTAACAATTTTCCATATTGCATTCAACTGTCATTGGCTCAGCCAGGCTACAGACTGCTCCACAAATGTCTGTTTTAATTTTTTAAAAGTCAAAGACCAATAGGCTCCTGTACACCATCCCCCTTTCTGTGCTCGTAACCCACTCACATCTTTTACCCAGTTTAGGTTAACAACCATGCCTCAACCACCTAGACTTAAATGGATTCTGTACTTCCTGAGCCACTAACTTAGGCTTTAAATAGTTGTAAGAAGAGGAGCTTTAATTCTTTTTCTGAAGTGTGTGCAAGAAAACAAGTTAAAAAAAAAAAAAAATGTGATGTGAAGCAGTCTTCTTACTGATGACATGATCATCCAGGTCAGTTCATTGCAGGGCAATGTAATGCTTACTGCTCTACCAGAATAAGCATGAGATACCTTTTCCAGTGGTACAGCAACCTTACATGCTACTTTTGAGGCATTTCCATAAGCTGCATGTCATTTGCTTGCATTGTTTTGTGACTAAATGTCACCCAGTAGCTGTTTAATACCTGCATATGCATATCTAAACTTGTATTTGCTTTTTTACGACTGTTGAAATAAGAGTTGTATTAGAACTCCCATTGCTTGTGCATGTTACAAGACTTTGCATTCTGCACTTTCACAGAAACGTTAACAGCTTTCTGCAGTGAGCCCCTTTATGGATTGTTTCCTTAGTGATCTCATACAACGTGTAGAATCCAGCTTTGCCCTGTGTTTGAAATCTGTTGCAGGTAATGAATGAAAAGCTTCAGCACTGCATGGAGTTGACAGACCTAATGCGAAATCACCTGAATGAAAAGCATGCTCTGCGCCTCGAGTGGATGATAGTAATACTCATCACCATAGAGGTTGGTTGGGGTGGGTTTTTTCCCCAATACCACATTGAAGAATGTAATAAGTGCAATTTATATACCTCAGTTTGAAAAAAAATCAAGATTAACTTATTCATTATTAACTTATTCATGTAACATACAAGTCTTCAGTTCTTTGCAAGTAGCTTTTGAGTTGCAGCTATAGTTATTTTCTGGCTTATAGTTATTTTCTAAGCTGTTTTAAAGCTTGCTAAGAATTGGTCATTGATTTAATGATGTGTTTGCTATTTCACAGGTTATGTTTGAACTCGCAAGGGTAGTGTTCTGACATCAGAATAGACTCTGGAAGGAAACTGACAAAATGGTAATGACCATATGGCCAAGAAAATTCCTGTCTTACATGCTTCTGGAAAATAGTGGAATTGTCTCTCTTGATAAATATGTACATACTTTACTCAAATAAAGAAATTATGAACATTATACCAACTCTGTAACAGTGATATTAAAGTCTTAACCTACGGATGTGCTAGCATGAAGCTGAGGTACAAGTGATACAGTTGTAGGGGAATCTTGCCAGTCGTTAGGCTGGATACAGAGCACTAGCACTTTCCTCCTACTGAACAGAGACAGAAGGATGGACCCCTTCTGGGCTGACCTTGTTAATTTGCTGACAGACTCTTGTGCCTTGTCTCCTTGACAGTTAAAGAGATGCTGATTATTTAACCACTTCCTGCATTTCTGGTAATTCCTTTGTCTTTCCCAGCTCCTTCTAGGATAGAAGCAATACTGTCCTGAGGAAGACTAGTTTCCAGGAAATAAGCTTCCTATAATACTGCTGTTCGTTCTAACAAGAATAGAATTGGGCAGAGCTAGGAAAAACTAGCTGACTACAGATCTGTCCATTGTAAGAAGCACTAACTCCTCCTTAACAGTAGGCTTTTCTCCTCAGAGAATCAAAACAGGTAATACCTGGAGATCCTGGTTCTGGAAATAGCTCAACTACCAGTTCTGTGAGCTGCTGAGAAGGTCTGAGCTGTCAGCCCCATTCACAGGAGTGAATCAGTCAGCAGAACAGCTTGATGACAAAGCTTGCTATTAACTGCAGAACAGCTCCTCAGCACTGATCTCTTACATAGGTTTAGAGAAGTAGTACATTAGATCCATTAAGTGGTGCATGGTTTTTCCTACATAACTACTGTAACAGAGAATTAAACTTTAACTGTCATTATTCTAGCAAACTTTTTTTTTCTTAAACACACAAAATAGGCTCCCCCTTCCTCCCCAATTTAAGTGTAACACCTGAGCCTGAGACACTAAGTTTCCATTCATCTCACATATTTAATAGCTTTAGTATTTCAGTTCAAGCTGCTAAAAATGTAACTTTGCAGGCTAAATGCATCCATCAACAAAAGTGATTATAACAAAGGCATTTGAGGACTCCAAGATGCTCTTTAAATGCATGAAGCATCTAGGTTTGAATATCTCAGGTGTTCTGTATTAAGATGGTGCTTAAGAGTTAGCAAGTCAAACACTCTAAAACAACAGAAGCATGGTTAGTTTTGCAACTTTACATCAGTTTCTGTCTGCACAGATGACGAAGGTTGTGAAATCCCAAAGACTTCTCCAAGATTCCAACACCCTTTGCTGTACTGAGTGGCTATTCAGTGTTATTTCTGCAGTTAAGCTGTAACTGCATATTAAAATTTTGTATCAATCTGCTCCAACCCTCCAGCATCGGCAGCTGCATCCTCAGCATGAGGGTTTGGGTTTGTTTTTAAGTGATGAACTGTACAGTCTGACAGTGAGAATATCGTCACTATATTAAACAGAGATCCCAGACAAAGCCAGGAATACAAACACACCAAGAACTGAACTTGAGCCTTCACAGCAAAATATGCTAGTACAGCAACCCCCAGAATGGGGCAGAATTAGCATATTTCTCCCATTGGCAATCTTCAGCCTGCTTCAAGCTGGGCAGCTGATAGAGGTCCTGTGCAAGTTTACTGCATGACCTGATTAGCAGGGTGTTCTGTGGCAGAGACAAGATTAAATCCACTTCTAGAAGCAAAAAAACACTGTGACTCTGAAAACATAACCATCTCATTTGTCTCATCCCCTACATACCTTCCTAGTTCACCTGCAAAGAACTTTCTTCACAAAAGAAAGTTATGTCTACACAGCACAGTTCAGTTAAACCCCAAAGTGGGTCTCTTCTAGCCCATGAGGATCATCTAAGGAAGAGTACAATAGTAACAAATACAGAATATGAGAAAAAAAACAGCAAGCCTGGTGCATCTACAACTCTTAGAATTGCAACTTTTTAATGGCAAATGTAATTCAAATTAGACCATTATTTATAGAGACCCCAACGGTGCTGAGAGCTTCTGTCAGATGACACAAAGGACAACTAGTAGAAAATTATTTTCTTGGGTGGATCTACTAGAAAGAGTTGTCAGAAGACCAGCCATTTATACAATAGCAAAGAAAGCTGAAAGCAAACAGTCAGGACTCCTGACTTCCAGCAGAGTTTTTGAAGGGAACCTCTCTCCTGGCCACAGTCAATTGTTTTGTCAGCACACCAGCTCTGCATATGAAAAAAGTTGATGCAAATGCCACCTCTGTAAGATCCCCACAAAGGTAACTTAATGGCAGGTAAGAGCTTATAGAAGGATGACATTCTTGCTAGCTTCTACCACCTGAAACAAAGATTCTCTCTCCTCTCTCCATTCTAACCTAACGCTAGGAACAGGAGGAAGATCGACCCAACAGTGGAAAGAGGAATCAGATACTATGTGTCCACCTAAATGAGTCTTACTCATAGCTAAGTCACAAAGTTGCCTTCTAAAGTACCTATCAGAGAACAAAACAGATGAGTGATCTCGATAGAAAGAACTTCGTGAAAAATCTTTTCCAGTTTTGGACACTTTATATGCAGATTGGTTTAGAAGTACCTCTTGCTTTTACCGGTCACCTTTCCTAGACCCTAAAGACAAGGAAAGACTTTAGGTTGGAAATTACTGACCTGTGAGGTACAGCCTTTCTTCCTTGGATGGCATTAAGCATCTATCAAGCGTCTTAGCATCCTAATCCACAGGCTGCTTGATGATGGCCTGACAACTACTAAAAAGACGTACAGAACTTGAGGGACATGGATACAATAAATGATGTGCAGGGATTTAAAAACCAAACCCGCTGCCCAAAATACTTATCTTCAGATGGCAGGAAGGAGAGCTAAGGCAAAGTTAAGCTAAGGGGAAAAGAAAGTGACTTGAGAAGTACATAAGACCAGCTGAGAAGGAAAAAAAAAAAAAAATAGATCATAACTCTTTACAGGGAGAAGGGAGGCAAAGACCTCTGTTAGCTTCAAAAATGATTGTGCCATAGCTATTCACAGTACAATGCAGCCCATTTCTCCGGATCCCCATGACAATTTCTTAACAACACACTACTCCGTACTACACCTAAAACCCAGGAGGCTGGGTCTCAGAAACTCAGAAAACTATGCAACTCCAGCAGTTTGGAGTCCTTTACAGTGTATGACAGCAATAATTGAATTCACCCAGAAAAAATACCAATCCCTCTCCTCACGCACAGCATGGTGACCAACCCATTTCAGATTCGTAAGCAAATAAAAAAAGGAGACTTTTTTCCCTTAAGTCTACTTCGAGTTGCTGAAGGCATGATGCTTACATCTAGTATCATCAGTTCTCCTTCATACTGCTATTTAGGCCAAGTCTTCAAGCTCCAGACACAGAAAAAGTACATTTTCTGGACAGGTGAAACAGGAATACCAAACTGCGCTAACTGCTGTTCCCCAGATACATTTTGACAACCTCCTAAGCTTAAGTCACAAGATGACTGGCCAACACAATTCCTTTACAACAGTTGAGTATTAAGTATCTCTAAGTTTAAAGTCACCACATAGGCAGCACTACACGGTGATGTGAACAAAGTACCAAATGCTGTTCACTCAGATGCGTCATTTTCTACCAAACACCTCAGCCTCAAAAATGCACTCTGTGAAGTTGCAGTTTTAGTTTTTTTCCCCCTAGGAAAGCAAAATATACAAGTACATATATGTATGTAACTATCATCCTGCTCCACTACACTCGTCTCCCCAGCTAAGATCGCACAGTCACGTTTTAGCTCTTCCAGTTGAAAGCAGGCAAGGCAGCTCTACCAGGCTAAACTGGAATGAAGGCAAAGGCAGAACAAAGAGGGGCAATCTGCACTGCAGGAGCTGCATCAGTTAAGTGATGCTACAACTCCTGATGGAAATGAGACCCCTAACAAAAACATTTTTCTATGTGCAGTTAAGCCATTTCCTTTGATGACAGATGTTCTACTAGCAAAAATATTTGGGTTTTTTTAATTTGGTTTTGTTTGGAGGTTGTTTGTTTTGCTGGTGTCAGTTACAGCTACCCAGATGCTATAGACAAAGCTTTGCTCACTAGGTGTAAACACAAAATGGTCCATGTTCCAACTAACATCATGATTACAGAAGAACAGCTACTCTATTCTACTTCTTCCTTTTTTTTCACATATGCAATGTACACCAAAAAAAAAAAAAAAAAAAAAAAAAAAAAAGCCTACACAACACAGTTTTCTTTTGCCTCTAGAAAATCCAGACCTGCTCTCAACATGACAGCTTAGGGGTTGGCCACTCACCTATCATGAGCACATCCACCAGGAGGTCCCTATGCCAGGGAAACCAAGACAAGAGAAAATGCAGAGCCATTCCTCATCTGCTGCTGCACCCCTGCGCAAAGGCATCTCCTGGGACCACTTCTTGGTTTGTGCTCCCAACGCAGAGATACACCAGTAAGGTTTGACTGCGGGAATGACAAAATCTAGTGAGGAAGATATTCCTGGATAAGAAGATCGGACACTATCAGAGGAATGATATTTCTTAAGCAAGTTACTGGTGCTGTTGCACTTCCCACTATAACACAACAGAAAGCATAACAAGACAGCAGTACAGCAAGGTCTTAAGCTACAGTGAGCACAAATCT